GCTTTATTGTCTCTTTGCCTTTGACCAAATAGAGCTTGAAAGATGAGGGGTATGTTGATGCCTTGTGGCATTTGAAATCCATAGAGCTGCCTTCTTATGATAAATTAATATTCAACATTAGCATTTATACCGCCCACATTGATGGAAAATGGTTGAATATCACCTGGGATGGAGAACTCTTCAACTCACGCATGTACTTGATTCACTTCTGGAAAGTTGAAGGTATCATCTCTTACTCATGAATCCAAGGGCTTCCGAACAAGGGTCTTAAAAATGTGTTCCTATCAATGATGTGGAACTTAACTTCACTTTTGAACTCTCTAAAATGAAGAGGAAGGATTATGAACCCTAGGGTCATTTGCCCATTTTCGTTGAATTCATTCAACATGATTCTATCAAAGCATAATTTTCATGTGCTTAATCAAAGAAATTCAAGGGTTCACATTCTAATGGTAATAACGGATGCGTTGAAATCAACTAATATACAGTTCATAGATGTTCCATATATCACAATTGTCACGTATAAGGGATGGTTCTGGTCCGTAGTACCTTGTAGTAAGTCATCATCAGAAGAGGTGACAATAGTTATATCTTACGGTATGACTGCCTCCTTTATTTTGTCTTTGTTGTAGTAAGTATGGAAGATTTCTGGCTCCAGGAGAGCTTTCACCAAAGTCTTTCTCAACTCATAAGATATAAGGAGAGCATCAAGGATGCTTAACGATGCCAACAACCTTTTAAGGTGTTCCAACATTCTATAATCCACCTTATTAGAAGGATTTCTAGTTCCTTTGTTATGGGTAGAAAATTTGGGAATATCATCCATCTCTTGAGAGATGATGTCCTTCCCATTCTCATTACGGGTGGACTTAGCTAACGACTCTATGTAAGAGCCTTGAGAAGCAAGTGTGCCACCAACATCATCTGATGAATCACATAGAACTTGACATATGCGGTAAGCGCCATTAAAGGAGGGCATAGTGGGTATTGCTCCTCTCCTTCACTGTGATCATCTGCATCAAACTCACGAGTGATAACAATAAAGATGTGAAAAACAAAAAAAATACTCAAAATTTCTTCTTTCATTGATTCATAAAAAGTACAAAAGGAATCGTAGAGAATGTGATCTTCCTCTAAGCTTATATTTGCATATGAACAAAAATAAAGTACATCACTAGTAGTATCTGCAGCAGATATGATTGGAATGACCACAATAACTTTGTTTGATCCATTCCTAGAAGGTTTCTCCAAGTATTGCTTTAGCATCTTGATCTCCCTGCTTTGTGGTGTGTGTCAACCTAGTTCTTGAACATGTAGCAATCCTCTAACACGTGTCCCGAATGCTTGTGTTAGTGACAGTAGTTGGGCTTGATAGATTTTCCCATCTTGTTTGTCTTCTTTGGTGGAGGAAACAGCATGTCCTATTTGATTAGACTTTTAAAAATCTTCTTAGTTAGGTTAAGTCTAAGTTAGGTTAGACTTAAGGATTAAGGTTAGGCCTAATTTGACTTAGGGTTAAGGGTTACGTTTAGGTCTAAGATGGGTTAGACCTAAAGATTAGGATTAAGCCCAATTTGATTAAGGCTTACGAGTTACGTTCAGCTCTAAGATGGGTTAGACCAAATGATTAGGGTTAAGCTTAATTTGATTAAGGCTTAAGGGTTAAGTTTAGATCTAAGATAAGTTAGACCTGAAGATTAAGGCTAAGTCTAATTTGATTAAGGCTTAAAGATTTAAGTTTAGGTTTAAGATAGGTTGCCTAAAAATTAGGGTTAAGTCTAATTTGATAAAGGCTTAGGGGTTAAGTTTAAATCTAGGATGGGTTAGACATAAAGATTAGGGTTAAGACAATTTTCATTAAGGCTTAAGAGTTAAGTTTAGGTCTAAGCTGGGTTAGACCTAAATATTAGGGTTAAGCCTAATTTGATCAAGGCTTAAGAGTTAAGTTTAGGTCTACGAGCATCTAAAATGGGTTAGACCTAAAGATTAGGGGTAAGCCTTATTTAATTAAGGCTTAAGAGTTAAGTTTAGGTCTAAGATGGTTTGGACCTAAAGATTAGGTTAGATTAACCCTATAAGGTCAACCTAAAATCAGATGAAATAACTACTCTTAATCCTTTAAACCAGAGGATTAAAAGCAATAAAACAAGTTTAGGACATTTTGGGCTAAAGTGTAAATTTTAAATTTTAAAATTTTACCCATAAATGTCTAAATTGTTACTTTAGACTTTTTCAATGGTTGGAAATTTTATTTTAGGCATTAATTTAATTACCTTAAATTTTCTAACCATTTTTAATTTAAATTTCTAATTTACTAATTTTTTATAGTTATTTTTCAAAAATAATTATAGGGTTGATAGAAAATTGGTGATTTTCAATTTAGGGATATTTTCTAACCTTGAAAAATTCATAGAATGTTCTGAAGGATGAAAGAAGCAATCCCTGTGAATTTCATATTTTGTATTTATATTTAATTTTTAATAATTGAAATATTATTTGGAGTATTTAATTAATTAAAAATTAAATACAATTCATTTATTATCATTTTTTTTTTTGAAATTTTCCTCTCTATCTCCTGAGTTCAGATATTTATTTTTATGATTTTTCGTGGCAGAGATATGCTTTTTTGTAAGTTATTTGATTTTTTGGATTTAAATAAATAATTGAACTCCTAAATTCCTACTTATCCAACGCGGCGCCGCATCCCTCCTCGGTAGTTCTGAAGTTCACGCGATGGTCTCAATTCGTGGCACTTTCCATGCTATCGTTTGAGCTGGCTCGCAGTCCGGTTCTCCGTTTCGTACTGATGAATGGTTTGACTTAATCGATGTCATCCATTTCTGATATACGAAAATGGATGGCATCTGTTCATCATCTCTAAGGGATGATTAACCGAATACCATCCATGTTCAAGCATTAAGTTCTCCTCTGATTTTCCATGAAATCTCATGGCGTTTATTTTAAAAGCATCATATAACCGGTAAGATCACATCCATATGGTTAGTTGAGTATGGGGTGCACATTTCTTCACAAAAGACCAGACCAGAGGCAATTTTTAGGGTTAGTGGTCCATTCCTTTGCCCTAAGAGGTATGGTCTTGATTGGGTTTAATCAACACGATGGACTTAACCTTACACAACTCCTCCTTAGCTCAATTTGATCTGAAACCGGGCCTAAGTATGAGCTAAGTAAAATCGTGGCTCAGTTTGGTCTTAAGGTAGGGCTAGAGGGCTCAGGGAGGCTCAATTTCGATTGGAAAAATCTACTTAAGGCTCAAGGAAGCTTTTGGAAAAGTTAATTTGAGGTTTTGGTAGCGTTCATGACACACTCGAAATTTGTCCTAGATTTGGGTTTGAAAATTAGGGCATCCTAATGGGATTTAGGCTTTGAAGAGATGAGGAATCTACTGTTTATAGCTTGAAGAAGATTTTCTCTCTTGAAGGTCAAAGGTTTTGAGATGTAATTAGAGAGCATCATGCCTTCATGAAGCTCATGGGTTTGGTCTTTTGTGGTCATGAGAGGCTTGGATGGGGCCAAAATTGGCCTGAGGTGATTCTTCTGGCTCCTCTAAAGTGTTTTCAGAGATTAGGGAGAGGAGTTATGGAGGTAATTCTTCTCCTTAGAGGCTTTGTCCAAGTTGGCTCCAATGGAGGAAGAGGGAGAATTCAATAACATAAAGACATTGGGGAAGGGTGGAGGCGTGGTTGTTGAACTTGGCAGGTGTTCTCCTTGACCCAAGCATGGAGGGACTTGGGTTATTTGGACTAGGATGCCAAGTATGAGGGAGAGTAGGTAAGCATTAATTCTTTTGTCCCCTCTCCCTTATTTTATTTTATTTTATTTTATTTGTTTTATGTGAATATAGGTTATGTACTGACCTGATGGGTTGGTGTAGGTTATGGGTAACCTATTAAATCATGGGCTTGGACCATCAGCCTAATCTGTGGTATTGTGTCATGGGTTAAAGCTTTGGGTTTTAAGCTTTAAATTAGGGTTTTAGGGTATGGATCTTAAATTCATTCTTATGAATAAATAATTAATTAATTATGAGAATGAAAAGTTGACAATTAGACCATGAGTTGACCATGGTTGCTTAGGGTTGACCATTTGACCCTAGGTTCATTAGACCACAGGTTGACCAAACCAAATGGATCAAAATGATCAATTTGACTATATAATGGTTGGGTTGACTATAGAATCAATGGGTTCATCATATGGTTCAGTGTTGATCATGTTAACCAGGGTGGTCAGGTTGCCATATGGGTTATTTGTTGATCATATGGTGGTTGGGTTGACCATAGGGTCAATGGGTTGGTCATATGGTCTAGTGTTGACCATGTTGACCAAGATGGTCAGGTTGACCCCATGGGCTATTTGTTGACTATATGTTGGTTGGGTTGACCATATGGTCAATGGGTTGGTCATATGGTCCAGTGTTGACCATGTTGACCAAGGGTTGACTATATGGTGATTGGGTTGACCAAAGGGTCAATGGGTTGGTCATATGGACCAATGTTAATCATGTTTATCAAGGGTTGACCAGGGTGATCCAGTTCACCATATGAGCTATTTGGTGCCATCTAGATCAAAATAAGGTTAAGTTTGATTCACATGGACCACTTCATCTCTTTTGAAGTTTAAAAGAACAAACTAGGGTTTTGGTCTAAATTTTAGAGTTTGGTGGGGTACGAGAGACTATGGGTGAAGCCAGGGATCAATTTGGGTATGTCCCCCTCCTAAGATTGAATTGATGGTCATTGTGAACCTTAGAGCTTACAAGTTAATCTAAGCGGCCTAGGGTATGTCTTACCCCTAATAGTCAATTCAAGCACTAAACCCTAAACACAATCAGCCAAAAGGACGGGGGCTTGAGCTTGTACATGTAGTTGAGAGTAGTCCCTACAAAAGGAGGTCAACAAGTACAAATTTAAAAAAGTAAACTCTTATATATTCATAAGATAACAAAAGTGCAAACTATAATAGTAAACAAAATAAGACCATTAATACCATAATGCAAATTAAAATATAGACTTTAATTTATAGGCTTTTTTAAATTAAGTGTTTATAAATCAAATGGTTACACAACATATCAGAAAGCGAAACCCCATCATCTAGCCATGGTGCATGTGGTTCATTGCAATGTTGCTCCTCAGACTTATCAAGCGGTGGAGTCTGTGTTTCATATGCTCAGTTTCTTGATCCTTTGCTTAACCCACCTCTGTAAATTATATTTTTATATGTCTTAATGATGAACCACTTTCTGAAAATCAAAATGAAACAGGAAAAAAGCTTATTGTAATGAAAGTGAAAGTTACTTAAGTAAACACATATATTTCATAAGATAATAAAGTAAAAATTAGAATCGTAATCAAATAAGACTAGCACTAATAGAGTAAAAACTAAAATATGAACTTTAAAGTGTAGGTTTTTTTAAACTAATCATTTATAAATCAGAAGGTTGCACCACATACCAGAATGTGAGACCCCATCTTCTAGTCACCATGCGTATGGTTCATTGTAATCTTGCTCCTCAGACTCACTAAGCGATGGAGATTGTGTTTCATGTGCTTAATTTCTTGTTCCCTTGCTTAACCCACCAGTGCAAATTCCATTTTTATATGTCTTACTAATGAATGAGATGAAACAAAAAATGTTAATTGTAATAAAAATGAAAATTACTAAAGAAAACAGATATATTTCATAAGATAATAAAGAGCAAATTTGCATAGTAAGCAAATAAGACTATCAGTAAAAAAGATCAAATTAAAATATGAATTATAACTTTTTGGATTTTTAAACTAATCATTTATAAATCAGAAGGTTACAACACATACCAGAACGTGAAACCACATCTTTTGGCCATAGTGCATTTGGTTCATTGTAATCAGGCTCCTCAGACTCACCAAGTGGTGGAGACTGTGTTTCATATGCTCTGTTTCCAGTAGAAATTTTCTTTCTTGCACGTTTTAGTGAACCACCAACCATTCCTACAAATTAAAATGAGACAAATAATTCTCATAATGACGAAGTGTAATTGAAAATAACAAACATGCAAAATAAACAAAAAATAGGACACAAAAATTATAGTGTATATTAAATCTAATCTTCTATGAATAATATTGTGGTTATTCCAATAAATAAGCATCAGAACCAAAAAAAGTCACAATGAATGAAAACAATAGATTCACAACATCACCAATATCTTCTTTGAATAAACAAAAATCAAATCCAAAAAAAGTATGGAGGGACACACAAACTTCCCTTTTGTCTACCTTCAAACAAGAAAATACAACGCAAGTAAGGTGATATGTGAATAAATGAGCATAGAAAATGAAGCAAACTACTAAAAAAATGAACAAAATTACATATTAAATAATTACCTTAATATTTCTTGTTGGCTTACATTAAATTTGTATGACATTCATGAGTGGTGATGCTTAAATTAAACACATCTCAAGGTTTAAGTCTAATAATAGAATTCCAATTTGTAGTTTGAGAGTCTTGTATATAAAAAAACAGGTTCTACTTGAGATGAGAAAACGAATGGTTCATGCTCCAGCTTCTCTCTGGTATGAATTAAAAATGAGAAATTCACTAAAGAGCACTAAATTGATCTAAATTCATATCATTTGCAGACGCACCCTTTCATTCACATTTGAATTGCACAGTTAAAAAAAATCAAAATAATTTAGGTCAATGATTTAAGTCAACCTCCCATAATAGTAAAACCTCTCATCTTCTGTAATGTTAACTACATCATAATTTTGAGTCATCTTATTTTCATCATGATCTCTAGTATGATTGTTGCATCCATTTATTCAAAATCCTTTATAGTTTCTTGCAATTTTATTTGGAGCCCATGCAAGCATCATAATTTCATCACTTCCCGATGTATCATAGCGCATAGCCTACTATAAAAAAAATAAATTTATCATAAATATTTATTTTGAATGCTAAATAAATTTGAAATATTAAAATTTACTCTATCTTTAAACCAATAATGAAAGTTTTCATTCACAAACTTCTCAACATCATAAGGTGTGAGATGTGTATGTTGACTTCTTTTTCTTTTCTCATTGTCTATCAAATTTCTCTAAAAGTTATAATATTATCATAGTGAAAAAGCGCATTTTTGAGTGCTTGAATTGATGATTTGTCATCCAATACAACCAAAGTTACCTTACCTAAAGTCATTCCACCACTTAGAAACTTATAAGATAATAAAATCGCAGTTAATCTTGGCAAAACATCAGATCGCTCTAGATTCTTGGAACAAATAAATATTACTTCCTCAACAATATAACCCTTGGCAATTGATCCATCAGGTTGTGCTTTATTGCCAATGTAAGCTTTTAATAATAGAAAAATCCTATTCACAGATACAATTTGTGTAAGTAAATAAATAAATTAAAATCAAAAATAAAAAATAATCATAATTTACCTTTCAAATGGGTACATCCATCTATATTTCACAGGACCACCAAGTTTTACTTCTTCAACTAAATGAACAAGTAAATGAATCATAATTGTAAAGAATGAGGGCAAGAAATATTTCTCCATTTGGCATAGAGTCAATATAAAGTTATTATGTAACATTTCTAATTCACTTGGATTAATGTTCTTAGAGCATATTGCTTTTAAAAAGCTTGATATTTCCACTATAATTCCCATTACTTCATCTGAAGCTGCGAAACACCTTAATGCAACTAGGAGAATATCTTCAATAAGAACGTGACAAGCATGACTTCTTAAAAGTGTTAATTTACACTCGTTGATGTTTAGAGCTCTAGAGATATTTGATGCATAGCTTTTGGGGACTTTCATTATTCTTAAGGAGTTCACAATGCATCAATTATTGCTTCTTTGATAATGTGAACATTGTTGGCGGTAAAATGTAACTACCATTCTCATTAACAAGAGGATGCAAATCAGTCCTCACTACAATGTCAACTAAATCTTTTCATGCATGTAGATTATCTTTAGATTTATCAAGATCTAATAAAGTCTTAATGAAATTATCACAAATAATTTTTCTTATATGCATGACATCTAAATTATATTGTAACATGTACATCCAATAAGGTAAGTCAAAAAAATGCTTTTCTTATTCCCTGTGATTGAATCTTGCAACTGCTCACTTATTAACTTAGTTTTTTTTTCAAATTCTTTTTGCTTTTATGAACCCGTCAGTCAATGAGGTGCAGTTCTCATCTCCTCTATGTTATCAAACTTTTATTTTTGACATGAAATATGTCATTAGGAGGTAGGCAATGATGATGACCCATATAAGATAACTTTTTACTCTTACAACCATAAAGATTCAATATTTTTTGCACAACAAGGGCAAGCAAATTTTCTTTTAGTACTCCATCCAGACAGCATGACAAATGATGGAAAATTATTAATTGTACACAATGGCAATGCAAGGATAATAAAATTATGTCCACTTACAGTATCATAACTTGGAACTCCATGACATGCTTTAATAAGTTATTGAATTAATGGTTGTAAATAAACAACAAAACTATTTCCAAGACTTTTCTCTCTGGGTATGATTGCAGATGCATGAAAGATGTATGTTTCATTCCAATCCAAGGAGGCATGATATAAGAAATAAAATGACAGGCTAAATATTGCATAAGCTACTAATGATCTTAAAGGGATTAAAAACATATGATGCCAAGGCAGGCCGAACATTACGTGAGTCTAATGCAAAATCAAAATACCGAGTGTCAAAAGATTTTCATGCGTCTCCATCAGATGGGTGTCATAACAAACCATCTCTATTTCTATGCTTATAATATCAGAACATCTCTTCTGCAATTTAATTTTTTGTTTCGAACAATCTTTGTAAACTTGAAATCAATGGGAAATATCGAATAATCTTTGATGACTTCATATTTTATTTTTTACCAGACATCTTTTTCCTTTTTTTTTGAATTGTGGCCCATCTTGAAGTTCCACAAATATCACATACTTCTTTATTCACTTTGTCTTTCCAAAATAACATGCAATCATTAGGGCAAGCATCAATATTTGTATATCCAAGATCAAATGTTTTCATTATCTTCTTAACCTCATAAGCACTCTTTGGTAATAATGCTCCCCCGGGAAATGCATAATTTAATAGCTCAAGTAATACATTAAAATATCTTGCAGACCAAAAGCTTAGACACATTAAGAAAAATAAGTGTAATAGAAAAGAAAATTTTGTGAATGTCTTGCATCAGGTATATAAGTCTTTTTTTGCATCTTCTAATATTTTTTTAAATTTTGTAGCATAATTTGTTTGATCCAAATTAGGCTCATCATGGTTAGCCCTTATACTAGTTGTGATATTATTCGAAATAAATGCATTCCTTAACAATATAATCATATGATATGTAATTCAATGACTGTCCTAAACATTAGAAACATCAAAGACTATCTCAATCTTATCAGCTTCAATAGTATTATTGTGTTCGTCTCTATGCCAATTCCAAACAACCCATTACCAAAAAAAATTCATTTCAAGATTAATTGTTTCTTGACATCCTTCAATGAATAAAGTACCTATTAAAGCATGATTTGCAAGCGCACAAAATTTTTTCTAATAAATTCATGCTCGGACTATTCTTGTGGATAAATGAAATGCCTTCAAATAAAATGCTAGAAGAAAATTTTTTAATCAGAAATATTTCTTCATATGGTATGATAGGACACAAGAAACTTGTGTAAACAAGTATTGCGAAAAATTAAGGAGGTAATTAAACTAAGTAATCTCAACAAAACTATATATGAGATCTCAATGATAGAATAATTATTATCAATCAGAGCTCAAAAATTTCACTCAAAAGCATAAAAAAAGATCATATGTTTTTAATAGTAGTCTCAGCAATGTTGAGTTTGTATTGGAAGATAAAACATGATAAAATAGAGTTGGTGTAAATGAGATTTTTATGAACAAGGATATAGAAGGTTACTTTTAAGCAAACCTATCTATAAATGCAAAACAAATAAAAAAATAGAAAATTATCAAAACAAAAAAAATTAGCCAAATTAACAAGCCTGCACTTCATAGTTCCAAAAAAAAATCTTTTCAAAATCCTATTCATGAGCATAAACAATTAGGGTATGGGAGATAGGTTTGCTTAAAAGTTTGAGAGACATAGGAAGGAGTTATCATATATTAGATATAATTCCAAAAAGAAGGAGTTATCATAGGACTAATCAGAAATCATTCACATTTATGAAAAAGATTCTAAAAGTGTGCGCGGCTCTACAAACTAAAAATAAAAATTAGTAAATAAATGTTAGAAAGAATAAACAGGAAGCAAGGCAACAACAGTTCAAACCTAACTAAGATGAGAAAAATTAAGAAAAAAACAAAAGCTATGAAACCATTCCCCGATTCTAGTTATGAGTAAAATATAAATCATGAGTATCCAGATCTGGCAGAAAGTAGAGTATGAAAATATCTAAAAAATAAATAAAAAGGTTTTCAACGGGTGCAAAAGAGAAACTCAAACCTAGGAAGCAGGCAAGGAGCTGAAACCACTTGACAAGTTTCCGAGCACTAACAGAGCATGGGAAGCGTCGCCGCTGGAGAGAATGGGAAGCATTGCCACCGGTGGAAGAGACCGACGATTGGGAACGAGGGATCGATCGCGGAATCCGGCAAAACTTTGCTTCTGAGATTATATTAAGTGGGCTCCACGTGTGAAGTGAATGTATTGGGATTCATGAGTATAAAAATTTATGGGTTGTGATTAATCAGTGTTAAAAATATGAGGCTCACATGACATCTATAATTAAACTCTGGACCTAATATTTTTTCTTGGACTCCGGACCTAATATTTTTTCTTAAATTAGGGCATGAGGAGGAGGGACAGGCGAATGATATATTTTGGTGGGAGCGAAATTAAATAGCCTATGGCAATACTTATAAGCACTATCAAATTTTTAAAAATAGAGTTTATAAAGGTTGCCATAGAGTGGGATATGAGCGCACTAACAAAAGCAACTTGCTCTATGATAGATACAGATTTTTTGGAAGTGGATGTTCCTTAAATTGGCTGCTTGGGTTCTTCTAATTGTTCCTTAGATTTTATTTTCTAGATCTTATGATGTGCTACATCAGTCACACTATCGAGTTTCTGTCATCAAATTTTTCACCTAGGGTATTGAGGCACTGCTCCACTACTGTTGTGCACTATCATTCGAGCGTTGCGTCATTATAACTTCAGTATTGGGGCGCTAGGTCACTACTGGTATTTCTTCTCCAAAAGATATGGCATGACTATATACAACACAAATATATGATATTTATCACAAAAAAATATAACAATAGAAAAAATTATAAGAAAAACTTCAATGTACTATAACACTTTGCAAACTTCCCTATCGTCGTGGGCTATTTATGTATAAGCTTTATTAATGATACATCATCAACAAATCAGGCATAATTCTCACTATTTTTTGAAGAAAAAAATTTTAAAATTTAAAAACTATCTTTTGATTGTTAGAAACTTAAAATCGGGTTTGAAACTTCAAACGATTACTTAAATAGTTAAATGATCTTCGATCAATGAGTTATGACAATTCACACTCAATGATAAGAAAAATTTATTATAAATAGAGGGGCATTTACATATATACCACAGGTTCTTTATGTATTTACATGTCTAACACCTAAACTTTATTTTTTTACATCTATACCACACAAATTTTTATATCGCCTAAAAATATCACTTCTTAAACTTTTAAAAAGTAAAATACGTTATTTCATTCATGGAATAGTTAGAATTTAAATGTAAAGAGTAAAATTCAGGTGCTAGATATGCATATACATAAGAATTGAGTGGTAAATTTTATGGGTCTAGCTTCATCTCATCAGAAAATTATGACCACACAGATTGTGGCTTCAGAAGAAAATTGTCAGCACACAAATTGAAGATTTTGACCGTTATATCAAGCTTATAATAGTATTTAGATTGTAATTTGTGTACTATTATTTTATTTAATCTTTTTTAATTATTTCCTTTAAAGAGGTATTGATAAAATTTATCCATCTTTTGCTTTGTGCAAGATACACTCTATTTGTAATCTCTTATTTGATATAGTTAATTCTCCTCATTCGCTCGTGGTTTTTCCCATCTTGGATTTTCCTCGTAAAATCTATGTTTTTTCTTTTTGTTTATTTCATTATTTGTTGCATTGATTTAATATTAAGTTATAACAAGCGATATTGAAGCTAGACTTGATTATGATGGTAGCAATAGTAAACTATGACATCCCTCTCTTAGATTGCAACACCAAATTTTTACTTTAGCGGGTTAAGATGCGAGCAGTTTTAGTGCATATGGATCTAGACGATGCGTTACTTGGCTTTGAAATAATGTCTTTATCATGGATGTTGGAGGAGAAGCAACATAAAAATCAAATGGCTCTTTCTCAAATTCATCTTCATTTATCAAATCAAATTAATATGGGTGCTTTGAAGGAGATGACCGTCATTGCGTTATGGCTTAATTTAGAGCAGTTGTAGATGACGAAAAGTTCGACCAATAAGTTGCACTCAAAACAGCGTTTACAATCTTATAGAATGATAGAAGGTGTATCTGTTATAAATCACTCAACCATTTTTAAGGAATTGTCTCCGATTTGAATGCCATGGAAGTTAAGTATGACGAAGAAGATTTGAAATTAATCTTATTATACTAATTGTCTTCATAATATACAATATTTAGAGATACTATCCTGTATGGATGAGAGACACTTACTCTAAACAAATTATATAATAATTTACTTAGAAGAAGATGAAGTAGCTTGTGGAGGAACATGTTGCTCAAGGAGAAGACCTTGTTCGAGGTAGAACTCAAGAGAGGAGTTATCATGTTGATACAAAGAGTAGATTAAAATCTATAAATAAGGATAAGATATGCAATTATTTTATCTGAATGTTACAATTTACGAAATTAAAATAAGAATGCAACTTCAAATTAGAAGGGTAAACAATCAGATCATTTTGTTGAAGCTAGTGTTGTTGAGAAGTTATTAATGATGGTGAACTCCTAGTTGTCTCCGACAGAGAACCTTGTGATGATTGGGTTCTTGGTTCAGCTTGTACATTTCATATGTTTCATAATAGGGATTGATTTTCAACATATAAAACAGTGTCAATTGGTATTGTGATAATGGATAATAATATTCCTTGTAAAATAATTGATGTTGGAACTACTAGAATCAAGATGTTTGATAGAGTCATCAGAATATTTGGAGATGTGAGACATGTCCCATATCTAGAAAAGAATTTAATTTCTTTTAAGTAATCTTGATGCTAGAGGGTACAAGTACTTTACTGAGGGAGGAGTTCTAAAGATAGGAAAAGGATCTCTTATTAAGATGAAGGGAGAGAGGAAGGTTGCAAAACTATGTCTTGCAAGACTCTACTGTAGTAGGTGAGGTAGTTGTTACTACATCTCCCATGTCAAAAGATGAAGCAACCAGTCTTTGACATATGTGCATTGGGCATACGAGTGAGAATATAATGCTTGAACTAAGCAGAAGGGGACTTTTAAATGGCCAAAGCATTAAAAAATTGAAGTTTGGTGAATATTGTGTATTTGGAAAACAAAAATGATTCAAGTTCAATGCTAGTATTCACAATACTAATTAAATTAGGCTACATATATTATGAACTTTAGGAATCATTTACAATGTTATCTGAAGATAGCATTGACATATATATGTTGACGTTCATTGATGATTTATCCAAAAAATTTTGGGTATTCTTCTTGAAGTAGAACAGCCATGTTTCTACTACATTTAAAAAATGGCAGGTCATGATCAAGAAGCATACTGGAACGCAGATCAAATGTCTTCACACTAATAATGAGTTGGAGTTTTGTTTAGGAGAATTTAATGCCTTTTGCAATTGAGAAGGAATTATGAGAGACTTCATAGTTTGACACACACCAGAAAAATGGTGTGGAAGAGTAAATGTACAAAACTATATTAGAGAAGTTTCATTGCATACTCTCCAATGCCATGCTACCTAAGTCATATTGGGCTGAAGCTGCTACTACGACATGCTACTTAGTGAATCACTCTCCCTCCATTGTTATTGACAAGAAATCTCTGCAAAAGAAAGTGATCATTAATAGACATGTTATATTTGATAATATTAGCATGTTATATACAACATCTACTACAAAATCTAGAAATGATGATCATAAGAAAATTCCTAGCGAACAAGTGGAACTTTAGATTAGTACATCTTCATGCATAAATTTTGGGTTAAGTTTAAATAATCATGATGTTGTTTTTTTCCCACAATCACAACAACAACCATCATATTATTCTATTGCCACAAATATAATAATAAGAAAAATTAAGCCACCTCAAAAGTATGTTGAGATTGATTTGGTAGCTTATGATCTAAATGTAGTCGAATGTATTGAGTGTGGTTAAGAACCTTCTACTTATAAAGAAACTATGAATTCAATTGATGTTGATATGTGGATGATCAATATGCAAGAGGAGACTGAATCCCAACATAAAAATAGAACTTTGGATTTGGTAAAATTACCCAAGACAATAAAGCAGCTCAATGTTAATGGGTGTTTAAGAAAAAGGAAGGCACATCAGGGGTTGAAGATATCCCCATGCTTTTTGCAAAGGAATTCAATCAAATTCCAGATGTAGATTTTATAGATGTATTCTCTTTGATTGTCAAGCATAGCTCAATTTGAGCTTTACTTGCTACTATGGCTAAGTATGATCTTTAGCTGGAGAAATTAGACATGAAGGCTGCATTTTTGCATGTCGAGCTTGAAGAAGACATTTATATGAAGCAGCTTGACGGTTTCATGGCTACAAAAAAAAAACATATTTTTTTATTGAAGAAATCTCTTTACAGTTTGAAACAATCTCATAAGTAGTGGTATAAAAAGTTTAATTCCTTTATGATCACTCATAAGTTTAAGAGAAGTAGTTAATATAGTTTGACTATTTTAAGAAAAATAGTAATGGACTATTTATCTACTTGGTCTTATATGTCGATCATATTTTGATAGTTGCTAAGGATAAAGAAGATATCAAGCACTTGACAGTGAGTCTAAAAATGAAAGATTTTGAACTGTAAAGAAAATACTTTGCACGGAGATTCAGAGAGATGAAAGTGTAGGTAATTTAATTCTAATTCAGAAAAGATAAATTGAATAAGTATTAAATAGATTTAATATACTAAATGCCAAGCCATTTAGTACTCCATTAGTTGCACATTTCATACTTTCATCGATTTTATGTCACAATCTTACGATTATATTGAATATGTCTTGAGTTCCATATTCAAATGCAATAGGACCTCCGTGTATGTTATGGTATGTTTTTGTCCAAATTTATTATATACAATCCGTTCAATTATTATATATATAAGTAATTTGGGTAAAGAATATTTAAAAAACCATTCAGTGTATCCTCATGTATCTTTGTGGAACAAAAGATGTTTGTTTGCAGTTTGGGAGGACAATAGATAGAGTCTTTGGCTATGTAGATTTAGATGTTCCTAGAGATCTTGATAGAAGGAGATCACTTACAGGATATGTGTTTACTATTGGTGGTTGTATGATTAGTTGGAAGGCTACTTTATAGACAATCGTGAAACTAACTTCAGCTGAAGCTAAGTACATAATAATTACTGAAGCTTACAAAGATGCTCTCTAGTTGTAAGGTCTATTTGAAGAGCTTAGTGAAGATTTGAAAATAACCACACTGATGTGTAATAGT